AACTTTGAACTCAACTGTAGTTGCAGTTGAACAACAAGATGTTCAAATGGTTTGTTGAATTTTTGTCTATATTTTCGTGTATATGAAATAATAACACTGATGTTTAAACACTGTCGAATTCTGTCATCCTCGAGACAAATTTTAATTAAAGTACAAATCTTCTTAACTATTAGGTTTAGGACCGACTCAATACTATTTTACTTAAAATTTAATACAAATTTTACTTAGAATTTAATACGACTCAATACTATTTTACTTAGAATTTAATATTCTTTCCATTTATGATGAAAAAAACAAAATAGACCTTGAAAATTTCGAAATCCATCGACACACACGAAAAATTGATTTCGCCTCCTTTGAAAAACCATAACTTTTGTATCAAACAATTTTTCATTAGGCGCATAATTTAAAAGGTGTGCAAGTTACGTGAATCACCCCTGTGTAAAGACTTCAATGACTATGGTAGCTCTAGTCATGAACTATAATATTTTCACTGAAATTTTCGTTAAAATTTCTACCATCCTTTTCACCTGCTGCGTGACGTGAAAACACATTTCTTTTTTTTTTTCTTCTAAGAAAAGGAACTCAAAATTTCGCGCCTTAAAGAGCCAGGCTACGAAGTTCGAACCTTTCAACGATCTTTCATCGATCGTGCGAATACTTTCAACAGCTTTACAACATATTCATAGTGGACGTATTTCCGGCTTGTGGATCCAGCGACACGTTTTCACACACAGATCCTTATTTCATCGAGGCGCAGAAGGAGCCGAGAGAAAGAGAAAGAGAGAGGGAGAGAGCGTGTACTTGGAATTTGATCGAGCATCGAAAGGTGAAAGGTGTGGTTGGGTCTTCTGGGTCGGAGCTACGCCACGAGATGCTCTGTGGGAAATATCGCGCGCGAGACGGTTACTCTCGCAAGTCCGAGAGAGCAGGGGCTCGTGACTTTTACGAGCAACGAGTGAACGAAAATCGGAAAGAGCTTTATCGAGCCTGGCTAATATAAACCATAGAGGCACAGACGTGTATTCGTGTATTAATTTTGGCAAACTATTTACGACCCACGGTATATATTTCCACAAATATCGTCGAACGATGAGGAAACACGAGCGTGTGAAATACCGTGCTCGTCGACGATTTGTTACGGTATCGTAAAAAAGCCGTTCGACGACGACATTCGTAAACCTAAATGTTAATTATGGAGAATGGGCGCAGTAACACCCTCGATTTATATGACCCAGATGTTTCGAACGACTGTGATCCACGCGCGCGTATGTACACACGCACGTACACACAGATGTTGCGGCATTTTTCTGGCTCCGGGCAGCAAATAATAAAAACGGCATATCTCACCGTTTGGTTTCTCGATCTTAGAATAGAAATATACCGTTTTCTTAATCTTTCAACCTCGATTCTCTGTTCAAACTACGAAAAGAAAGATGGATATGGTGCGCAGGACGTATATTTCATGAGAAATTTATACGAGAGACGAGTTATATCTGAAAATATCGCGCGTGATGGAAGGCAGAATGGCCGAAATATCTGGAACGTGGCTGGATAAGAGGAGAGACGGTGTCCGAATTGTGACGAAATAAATCCGAACGTCCCTGTTTCCTCTCGTACGGGGGGAAAGAAAGAAAAAAAAGAAAGGAAAGGAAGAAAAAAAACGAGACGTTAAATCATGCTGCAGCGGCATTGAAAAAAAGAAAAAGAAAAAAAAAAGGGAAACGAAAAAGAGAGGATAAAAAAAAAAGGCAAGAGAAAGGGACTTCAGTGGAGCGACGGTTGATTGAACTGAAAAATAGCCGCGGGCAGCTGGAAAATCGATGAAGACAGAAAGGGGCCAAGTAGGTTAGCGTTCAAATTTTAACGAAACAATTCTCTCTCGCGCTCTTTCTTTCCTTTCGTAAATCCCACGTAAACGGCAACTTTCGTAAAAATTAGAAAAAAAAAAATGAGAGAAAACTCCTTCGATGCAAGTCTTTTTTTCTTTTCTTCAACATTAATCGAAGAATAGTAAAGAAAATCTAAATACAACGATAAAGTGTCCACACTAAGGGAACTATTTTAACAAATTATTTTAGTACTTTTCTATAACATCTCTCTCGTTTGAATTTCAACGAAACGATGATCTTTCTCTCTTTGTAGGTAGAAGACGAGTCGAAGCTTTCGTAAAAATTAAAAAACAAAAAGCCTTCGATGCGACTCCTTTTTTCTTCTTCTTAACATTTATGGGAGAACAGTAAGTAAAATTTAAATGCAACGACGGAGCAACGTCTAAATTAAGGGAATTATTTTAATATTTTTCTATAGCTATCAAACATTTCTCTCGTTTAAATTTTAACAAAATCATCTTTCCTTCGTAAATTCCACAGAAACGGTAAGCCGAAACTTTCGTAAAAATTAAGAAAAAAAACCTTCCTTTCTTTTCTTTTGACATTAATCGAAGAATAGTAAAGAAGATCTAAATACGATCTAAACACGACAGCGAATGTCCAAATTAAGGGATTTATTCTATTTTAGACAATTATTTTCAATACTTTCCTGCAACTCGATCAAACATCCGTTTCATCGAAAATCAATCTTCCATTGGTGAATGACTTACCATTAAGTATCTCCGCGTGTGAAATTCGCCGAGAATACCGAGATTCCTGAAATTCGCCCGTACATCAATCGATCCGCCAAGTCCGGGCTGGCCGAGATGAAAAGCGACAGTCAAGCTCAACCCGGTAATCGAAAAGAAACAAAGACGAGAGAGAGAGAGAGAGAGAGAGAGAGAGAGAGAGCGACGATCCACGACGATGCATGTAAGTCAAGATAACAACAAATCAATCGAAATCCTATTGACGCGAAAATCATTCCCTTCCCACTCTGAAACACGATCGACGTTGGAATGGGCAAACTCACTTGCTTCGAAATCTCCGGAATTGTGTTGCTGCTTGTACCCGGAACCTCCGCGTTTCGCTGCTTTCGTGGCGGAGGTCGCGCGTTTTAGGCACACCCTGTATAAGGAGACGTGGGGGCCGACCTCACGATCGGTCTGATGACATTTAAAAGTGCGACGGGGAGGTATCGACCGACAGAAAAGGGCGAGAGACAGACAGATAGAAGAGAGAGAGAGAGAGAGAGAGAGAGAGAGAGAGTCGAGCGGTGCGAGGGAGAAGGTGGTAACGAGGCACGTGGCGTGACAGAGAGAGAGAGAGGACACGCAGACAGACGAATGAATAAAGAGAGAAAGGGGAGATGGTAATGGGAGCGAGGGAGACCGATCGTCGACCCAGACGAGAAAACTGCAGTGAAAGCCCGACTCGCATTCTGGGCCAGACGGAAGAAACACGAAGCAGACGGTGTAACGGCCTCTCTCTCTCCATCTATCTATCTATCTTTCTCTCTCGCTCTTATCGATCGTTACGTCTCGGTCCGTCGCACGGTTGGCCACACGCTCGTTTTTCCTATTTTTCTCTCGAACCGGCGAGATAGCCCGGTGGCCGCAGTCCGTCGACTTTCGCGCTCTTCGGCCGCCGATCGCGAGCGAGGGCGAAGACGAAACGCTTGATTCTGGAGACGAGCGGGCCGTGGCGATTTTGAACCCTGCCGAATCGCGAATCGAATTTTGTCTCTTACCCTTTTCTTTCTCTTTTTTTTTTTTTTTCTTTTCCGCCCCCCATAAAATAATCCAGAACGAAACATTCATTTTCGCACGCACGCGCGACAAACATTTTGCGGACATTTAGTTTTCTTCACCCTTGACACTGTCATCTGCAATAGCAAGGCACGAGCTATTTTTTTTCCCCCCCGCGGGGGAAGCTATCTCCGCGAGATTGTAAACAATTCTCGGCAACTTGGTAAAATGATTTTATCATCGGTTGTGAAAATCGTCTAACGAAACGAGCGGTTAGTCAGACGTGGATTTGAAAAGGCTGGCCGAGGTCACGGACAGGTCGAGAGCCGAACGAGCTCGACTAAACATCGATAAAACGTGGAAAACTGACGTTCGTCCGACGTCAAACGAATTGCAGTCTCGAGGCAATCGTTGATAGACTAATCGCACGTGGGTCTGTGCTTATCGGAGCTTAAAACGGACCGGTTGCGAACGAAAGCCGCGTAGATAACGCGATTTAAAAACGGCATCCCGCCTCCGGTTATCGAGCTCGTTCCATTTTCCATCGTTCGCGTCACGCTTGTGCTAATTAACCGCGTCATCGATTGTTGTTATTTATTACGCGCGACGCTGATGAATTTTCGCGAGTCGATGCGATTTCGTATCGTCGAGCGCACGAGAGAACCGGTTTTCATCGACTGACGATCGATCGAAACGGAAAATTCCTCGGCGATTAACACCAGAAACGGTCAAAACGACCAATTGATAATTTTTTGTTTAGATATTTCATATATAGAAATGTATAGTTATATGTAATTAACATATAACTTACACTTAGATATAAAACGGTGTATTTGAACGATTGTTCGTAAAATATGAGCTCGTGTACCCTCTATTACATTGTAGAAGATTTTCCGTATCTTTTAGCCTAATGTCTCCGATGGAAATTTTATGCATCAGTCGTGCTTCGAGTGTCAACGAATCGTAATCGGCGACGTATTTCCTTGTTTCGCACGTTGATTCGCCAAAAGAAACACTAGCGAATAATCGAGTTGCATAATAATCGGCTGACGTGTAATTATGAGAAATTTACGTTGTCACTTTACGCACGCTATACGTACCGGCACTTTCCTATTGTAATCCATCAGATCTCTCTTTACCGAGAGAAGTACAAGGAAACAATGCACAAAAATAAAATGAAACAAAAATTACATCTTACATCTTTCTTTCTTTTCTTTTTTTTTTTTTTTAACAAGAGTTAAATGAACGAAAGAGCGAGGAATTTTAAATTGAATTTTTGAATCGGCACGTCTAGCGTTAAAGGGACAATCCGTGAATTCGTAGGATTTGCAAAGCGTTGAGAAAAAGAAGAGAGGAATGAATTTGTCTTGACTCAACATACCACAAGGGCCATGTCGCGTGGCTTCGAACCCTGAACGTGAAGGATTCGTGCGCCCAGCTCGAGCAGCTTTCTCCTCAACTGTTTCACGGAGACGCCGAGCGTCTGCATGCAGCGACGCCTCAACTTCATTTGAACCGTGCCGCCAGGTTGTCGACGTGCTGGAAACCACTGGCCGTCAGCTGTCAAGCTGGCATATAAACACTCCCGGGCTCTCCCGGCGTTCCGTTGCTGCACACCGTCAAGCCTGCTCGTTCCACGAATTCGAATTTCTCGTTATTGCACACTTTGTCCTTTTTTTTAATTCTTTTATTCTATCCTCCTGTTCTCACGACAAAAAAAAAAAAAAAAGAAGAAGAAGAAAGTTCTTCCGCTTATCTCTCTTGAGGAAAAGGCAAATTTACAAACGCGCGAAGAGACGAGAAGACACGATCGATTCTCCGACCGTGTTAAGAGGAAACGACCTGGTTTCTGCTTAATTCGATCACGTTGCACTCGGCCGTGCGTGACAGAGACGGTACGTGCACGGTTGTCGAACGAGTGTGGCAATGGGCCCACACGTGTCGTTCCTCAATAACGCGACGTTCGTTTCTTTTTTTTTTTTTTTCCTTTTTCTTCTTCTCTCTCTCACTCTCCCCCTTTTCCTCTTCGTCCCGCCGATATTTACAGAACACTTGTACGAACTCTGTCGCGGCTTCGTCTCCGTGCGTACGTATACACACAGGCGCGCAAGTTGACGCGGTACGGTCGTACGAAGAAACAGGCAAAGAATTCCTGGAGGCTTCCGCGAAGAAGGAGGCAGACGCGCGTGGTCCCGCGGCCCGAGACCGGCTAGAAAGGAATCCCTCTCGCGTCACTTGCCAGCCGAGACGGCTAAATAATGCGCCGGTACGCGCGTGCAGGTCTTTTGACAGGTACGACCTTGACTTTCGAACGCCAGGCTCGTTTCTCACTCGTCGCTGTTCTTCCAAAAACGAACGTCGCCCCGCGCCACTGTCAATCGGGGCTCGTTCACTCGTTTACGAAAACGCACGCCGGCGGAATTGGTCGGAACGACAGCAGCCACTCTGTTGGCCTGACTCCTCCGACGTCGTCCGTTGTCCCAACTGTAGAAACGTCAGTGGCGTAGTTGACAACTTCTCGCGAGTCGTTGCAAGGCGTAGGTGAGATTCCAGCGAGGAAAACCAACGAGAAAAACCACGCACTGCCGGAGGAACTAGTTTCTAGTAACTTTGCTCGCCGGAGGATTAAAGTTCGTCTCCTCCTAGCCACGGACCGAGTCTCTTCTGTTCGCGGCGCCAAGTGCGACGAACGACGAACTAGAAAGCGGAACCTGCACCGCGACAGAGAAGAGAACCCTTGACGAGAGTCTCGTTCACGTCCCCCACGTTTCAAGTCCAGCGGCAGACTGAATTCGTCCGGTGGCTGTCAGGCTGCAGCACGGTCGACAACGAGCGCTTCCCCCTCTGCTGTCTGTCGCGCGAACCCTTTCCACCGAGCCCCCCCCACCATTTGCAGTCGGCGCAGCGGTCGCATTTACCCTCCTCTCTGCCCCTTCTGCCGCCGGCGTGGCGACGCTTGCACAGAGGCTGCCGATCTATCGCTCGTCCCCTCTCTTTCTGTTCGACGCACCGGCAGACCCCGGAGTCACCAACGTGTCTGCGCGCACTGGCCGTGCAGCGGGTGTCCTGCGTGTGCAGTGGTGTCAGTACGGGTATCGACGTGGCGGGCTGCGTGCGAGATAGGGAGGACACGGGCGCGTGGCCCGGGCCAGCAGCCGATCGAGCCGGCTACATATGTCGGTAGCGTAACGCGAAAATCATCGGCATCCTACGGTGGTGTCGTCCTACATCGTGGTAGGCGGAGGGAAACTCGGCGACAAGAAACTCGACGCGATGATACCGCGCGCACGCAACCGCCAGAAAGCGTTCGATCAATCGCGCGCGATCGGTTCAACTTAATTAGCGGTGGGCGAGTATCAAGCGAATGGTACAAAGTATCGAATTCGAAAGAGGAGGAAACGTTTATTTCGAACGTTCTTGGGGTCGTAAAATGAAACGCGCCGCGCCGAACGCGGTGGTCACGGTAGCGTGGCGCGGAAAGTAATTACCTTTCGCCGGGAGCGCGGAAGGCAAAACCCCGGAATTTCGAGTGTCGAAATCTCCGAAAGGAGGAAGAAGAACTGCGCGTATCCGGCTGGCGGGGAAGGATGGGCGGGGGGAGGGGGCGGAACGAACGAACAACCGAGCTTCGAACGCGCGCGCACGCACGCGTATGTACGTACGTTCACTCGCGCGAATTATTCTCGTCGACGGTGCTTCAGCCGGTTCCATTAATTCGAGTGTGCCACTCTATCCTCTGTAGAGGGTGAAATTACCCTTGAAATTATAACAGGTTGATACTTCAACCGCACCGGCATCGACCGGCGGCGTCAGGTCGTTCCGCGCGATCGATAACACTTGGTCGATGCGATGCACCGTGTACAACGTCGCTTTACAGGATA